GAGACGTGCACACAATAGGGAACAAAAGATTGTAAGCATCTCCACAGGGCAATTTCTATAGATGACTACATCTCCACAAGGTTTTCACGAAATAGATATGTGGATTTTACTCAAAAACTAGGAATTTCCAAGGTGGGTTGATCCGTCGCAAATGGAAGAGTTTTAGAAAATGGATATTAAGTCCAAATTTCAGCCATAGAAATTAATTCTGGTAAAAATAAGAGCGTTTTGAAACTTCACTTTCAAACTTGAAAACTTTACTACATGAGAACAAAGAAATGACTCCACAAGGATACAAATTTCAGTGTGTGTGTGGGTGTTTGTGTCCTGACAAATCTTGTCAGCACGATAACTTGAGAAATACTTAACATAACTTCAAATTTGGTTTTTGGATTGTTCTTGGTAATCCTAAGAAGCCTATTGCATTTGAGGCCGAAAGGTCAAGGGTCAAGGTCACAGTGGCTAAAACAATAGAAATCTTGTATTTATTCTGAGATCATAGGGATTAATTCATATAAAACCTACAGAAAACACTATATAATGATGTCAATGAACGTTCCATGTGACCCAAGTAGGATGGGTTGCCCTATTATCGCGGTACTTATCACTTTTCTCGTTCGGAATAGAGATTGCCCACTAACCTTCCTGAATTGTAATGCCTTTTGTGTAGTATAAGTCTTCCTTAATATAACAAAATCCGACGGTGGTGTGGTTTATTCCGTGTACGATGCCTGTGAAAATAGACATGTGCGGAGTGTGCGAACGGAGGTGGACTCCCTATTATCGCGGTATGTGGGAAGTGGTTTTTAAAATGATCCCAACTTTTTTATTCATAGTTAATGTTTGACCAAAACATCCCCTAAATAAAGTCTGATATTTTCCCTGTAACATTCAAGTTGATTACAGACCATATTTCTGCAGGATGATTTCTTAAGACCCTGCCCTTCCCCCGAAAGGAGAACGCAAATCCCTGAGGCAAGTCTACTGATCGGCGATTGAGGGCGCCATTCACTTTACACGGTGTGCCGTTTTATTTTCGCTAACGCGCGGTGCTTATTTTGATCCCGTAAAAGTTGTTACGGTTTCGCGCTGCAAATATAGTCATTCGACTTCATTTTACAATTGCAGCTGAAGAATGGTAACCAGACAATGGAACTTTCATGGACAGAGCACAATTAAAGATTAATGTTAAAATATAAACGGTACCCTTTAGCAGACACGGTGAGGGAAAATTTTGCAAGTTTTGGAAAATGTTAATATTTATTAAAATCGTTAAAAGTCCCGAAAGACACATCATTTTTTAATCGTCCTTTTTATACAACTTGGTAGAAAATCCTTGATGACTGGTGAACTGGATAAAAATCGCCACTTGAAAGAGTTTTGGCAACGCAAAATGAGAAATTTCCCATGCCGCGATAATAGGGATGCCGCGATAATAGGGATGCCGCGATAATAGGGAGTCCGACTATACATGTACATACATGTATGTACATTGATGTTAACAGAGTGGTGTTATGTCATGGGAACAGTCACGGTTGCGGGGCATTTGTGTTTGTAAACACACATGACTTGTTTTTATTTCAAAACAATAACAAAATAATTTGTGGAACCGTTATCCTTCACAATATGCTTATCAAACTTTCCGTTTTCCGTCTAATTTGTTTTACAACAATCACAATATCAATGTACATGTATTAATTTAGCAAAAGAAATTATTTTTACTTACACGTAAAACATTGCCTGTCACTCATAATTTCACAACATATCTTTTACTATTACATTTGATTAATGTGATGTAATTTAATTTTGAAGTGTCCATTTCGGCTGCTCTATTGGGATGTTTCAGTATTTCTTCTGATGATAATGCAAACTTTGGAAAGTAAAATGTGAGACATGATGAAGAACACTCAACACTGTCAACAAAAACCGTGATGAGAAGTTTAACTCAATTTGTAAACGTTCCCTGTTTAAAGTTCAATATATATTTTAAACAATTTCAATAATTGAGACTTTTCTTCAGAGGCCTACACATGTAGGCCTATGTAATAAAAGTCTCAATTATTGAAATTGTAGAGCCTTTCTGAAACAGAATCAGTAAAAGGTGAAATGTCACTCGTGAATTTAAATTTTAACCATAAGTAAAGCTTCAATTCAATTAGCAGATTCTTGGTTAATTCAGTGTAATAAGGGTTAAATGATTTCTGCTCACTTCTCCGTTTTTGCCTTTTTGGACAAATTTGATCGTGAACTTTACTAATTAAAGATGACATTGTTGTCATACACAAGGGCTGCTTGGATCGTCATAAAACTTGGCGTGAACTCAGATAATGTTATTTGTAGGCAAAATCCGAAGTGACACCATAATGACGTAATCGGTTGACTTCTTTACAATTTTTATTTATGAATTTCCAAATAGATATTTCTAATATATAAACCCGCCCCCAAAAATGCGAAAAAGCCTATGTCCTGTTCATCGAACAGGTGTAGCTGTAGATTATTTGTAAGATTATCTATAAAAGATTGTTTTATTTTCTCTTAACATCAATGTATGCTTCACTTAGCACAAAAATTTCATATTTCATATGTATTCTTACGACATGTAGGCCCTATTAAGATAACATTCGATTTATTCATCCAATGATTAAAAAAGAATCACAGGAATTTATAATGTTGTACTCGCATTGAAATGACTGTATTGTCATGTAATGTCTACATATGTATCGGTATGTATTAGTCTTTTGTAAGGCTGATTTGAATTTTCATTTACAATTTTGGTTGCATACAATGTTCACATGTACAGTGTACATTGAATCAACATATAGAATTTAAGAAACCATGAATAATGTAGAATTGAAGGAAACAGTCCGTCTCAATGTTGGTGCTACTGCTTTTCCTCTCTCTAATAAATCAGTGCAAACATCCAGAGAATGTCAAATCAAAACTGTTCACTTTGATATACATCAGTGTGTTGTGTGTATGTGCAGTTACAGTGATAAGCAACCGTGGCAGTTTTATCTGATATTTTCAGTGATTTTCAAAAAATCATAACTTGCATATTGCTGTACTGAGCACAACTATTTTTGTATCATTAGATTGGGGATTTCATCAGAAAAAAATGTTGGATTTGCATTTTCCTCTAATACACTTTCTTCACAAAGTATATGTCATCTTGCTCATCATGCTCATTGTTGGTCTATAAAATATCACGCCGCACACTAGTGATTTTTGTCCTGAAAGTAGATCATGTGTTATGACAAAATATGCTGATGACACCGCCTTATCTGGGCTGATCACCGATAACTCTGAGGTGGAGTATAGGTGTGAAATAAATAGAATTGTGGAGTGGTGCGACAGAAATCACATGATTTTAAATGTACAGAAAACCAAAGAGATGATATTTGATTTCAGGAAAACGAAAAACATGAAGGAATCGGTTAAAATTGACAACACAGATGTTGAAATTGTTGATGTGTTTAAATACTTGGGAACGTTTATGTTGTGGATGACAAGTTAAATTGGAATGCAAACACAATTGGGATTCAGAAAAAAAGCAAATCAACGGCTTTATTTTTAAAATCTTTTAATGTGAATTGTCAGATTTAAAAACTGTTTTATCAGAGCACCATCCAGTCGACTGTTATCTTTTGTTGTATATCTTGGTTCAACTCACTTACTTTGTGCAATCGGAAAAAAACTTGAACGCATCGACAAGCAAGCTATGAAGATAATTGTTGAAGACATCCAACATTTAGCAAAGAATCATCTTATCACCAAATTTAACAGCATTCTCTCGGATACAAGTCACCCCCTCAACTTACAAATGAAGTCTGAAAACAAACAGATGCAAATCTTCATTTTTACCATGGGCTATTCAGATTTTTAACTCAACGTTCACCAGATAGTTTTTATCCCTACGCTTGTGGTTTTTATTTCATTCAAATGCCCTAGATAAGTGGCTTTTAGCTGTTTGTCTTTATAACTCAGTGATTCCATACCCAACTCTACTCAGCCCCGCCCCTCCCTACACTGCCCTACCCTGTTCCAATGTTTCCCTTATCCTACCCTCTCTTTTCATGCTCCCCCTTTCCCTTCTCACCCTCCTCTACCCCTCAATCATACCCTACCCTATACATTTTGTACATTGCCAGACCAAGCTGTTTTCATCCTGTCCCGTCCTATTTCCTCATTTCCTTATCACCCCACAGCCCGAAATCCTACTTTACTGCTCCTAGAGTGTTTATGATTGTATAGTAGTAACTTTTTTTTTCTATGTTATGATATATTTTGGTCTCGTCGTGTTTTGTGTATTATTTGAATTATTGTATGTATACATATTTTTAATTGTACACTGGGAAATCAATTTTCATGTAATTTTGAGCATGACAATAAAGAAATCTAAATCTAATCTAAAAAAAAAAAATGCAGGATTAGTACAGTGTACAGGAAATTCCATATCGTGTTACGGGTTAAAGGCATTGCCAAAAAATCTGTGTGCCCATCTTTAAGTTAGAACATAAAAGAAACTTGTAATCTCTTGTAATAAAAAGGTTTTGGGCATAACATTTGAACCATTCTCTGCACCTTCAAAGCAAAAGCTCACAATAACTCTAGTTTGCATTTTGTATGTAAAAAAAACAAGGTGCCTAAACGACTACCCAAAATCCATAATTTTAGCCCTCAAAACCCCCATTTTTTTTAAGACGAAAAACTACACTTTACTGTATTCCATCTAACTGGAACACCACTGGTATGAAAATTATTGATGTCCACTTTAAAAGAATTTGAGGTTGTGAAAAATTGCATAAATTTTGCATTTTTCAGCCATGTGTACTGGTCATTCTTAATCTTTTGGATTTTAGGATGCTATCGCGTTTTTATAAAGTGAGTTCATTAATTTGCCATTGTTTTCTGTCATCATTTCCGTATCCCATTCATGTTTTAGTTTTTCTTGGCTATTTCTATTTTGTTTTTCTAATGACTGTCTTTCAATATATCTACAGATTGTTATTTTGTGGAACGTTGATCGACCTCTCCCCTCCAAAACAAAGTGGCCTTCCATCAGCATACCTCTTACGGTGGTTGAAGGAGATAGAAAGGTAAGCATAATAAGTTTATCTACTGTACAGGCAGTAGGTTTGTACATGTACATGTATCTAAAGACAGTAATTCGGAAAATAAGGGGATATTAGTATGATGAAGCAGTTATAGTCAAAGTGCAACACGCCAACATCAGAAATTCTCATGTCTGCGTCACTTTACTTAGCTGTAGAGCAATTTACTTGTATGCATATTCCCCATTACGGCTGGTATTTGCACTAAGAGTTTGCACAATAGTGCCCTCGTTTTTCCTACCTGTAGTGCCCCGCGGCATAAATGCCTCGTGAGCGTCCTCTTTTCTGTTAGCGGCAGGTCGGGTAGGACGTGAAAAAGATGCACTCCGTATTTCCAGTCTTTTTCTGCAACCCTTATCGCTTAGGCATAACAGAAGTTTTTGATAAAAGAAATATTAGTAGAGTTATAGTTTTGTTTTATTGAGTTCATAGTTATGAAGCGTTTTGAGAGAGCCGGCCTGTCACAAACTGGGGTGAATTCCTCTACTATGGGACGGACTGAGTTCTTAGGCGAATCTGCCATTAGCGGTAAAGTCGCTACTGTGGCAGCAGTCTCTCGTCTCTAGTCTCTCAACTACCCCAGCCACTGCCAGCTACTGGCGCTGGCAGTTCCACTGGCCGTGTAGGGGACCATCGGTCTCCTTCTCCGGTCAACCCAAATGGAACTTCCAAACAGAAGGTAATCTTCGGAAAGGTTCCTTCAAAACATTTCTCCTGTGCCAGAGCTAAGCCTAAACAGTGTCGACAGGGTAAACGTGGCTTGGTTCCGAGCGTCACTACACCCTCGGTCCCATCTCCGAGCACGGGGCAGCCTGAGTGGACTAAACCTCACGCTTCAGTGGGCTTGAGTCATCCATCTCCTTCCAGCATGACCCTCCAGACGTGCCAGATGGCTCTCGTTCGCCAGAGTCAACTCAACCCTCGCATTCGAGTGGTACATCTGATGACATCAAGGAGTTGCACTAGATGTAACGGCCGTCCATTGCAGAAACATAATTTTGTTTGGTGCAAAGGGACATGAATCGGGTTTTACAGCTACCCTCCACTGATGGACCCAAGCCTGAATATAAATCTTCAAGCGCTGGACAAATTGTACAACAAGCAACAACAGGATGTTCCTGATGCCTCCTTTAGATCAGACATGTATAGATTACATTTACAAGATTATATCTACTGACAAATGCCAACTATTCTCCAAATGAGAATATGATTATTATTGTTGCCCTCTGGATTTTGATGATTTTCTTGAGACGCCCTCACTCTCCGGCACAGCAAGGACAAGCTGGCGACAGATGAAGTGACCAAAGCATTCAAGCGGTCTTTCACATACATTTATGAGACTCGCGGCAAGTTTGAGACACTCTGAATAAAGTTAAATTTGGCCTCCCACCATGATAGGCGTTTGATCTCTTCAATCCTTACTCCTCTCAAAGTATTTAATACACATACACTTGGGTTTTGAAGATAACTCGACAGTTGGAGCGGAAATGTTGACCGCTGTTTTTCACTGTCCATACTAAATTGGTCACTCAGGTGCTCGATCAGTTTGCACGAGTGTCGACCTTGACAATGTACTGTCCCTCCCATCGCAAAGATTCGAGACCATCCCGCTAACGGGAAAGGATGTTTTTGCAAAGTAATTGGAGGATTGCTTGCAAGGCGAAGCGATTGAAGGCTATAGAGAGGATTATTCTAAAATAGTCTTGGTGATATTTTAAAAAAGGGCTCATTTAGGGCAAGAAGAGGCATTTCTTAGTAGAAGTTGGTAACATGGCTATTTTACCCAATTCAGGGGTGCTGAATCCCAAAATGATTGTTACCAAGCTGAAGTTTTAGTGGAAATATGCCTATACAATATAAATCTTTAACACCTGCCGTGTACATGTAACTTATTTTCCCCCATATTTGGGCATATTTTGTTGTTATTTTATTTTTTTTAAAGTTTATTTTGGAGATTAGATTTACACTTCCTGACTTCAATAACATTTTCTAAAGCATATAAGTGACTGGATGATTATGAGGACAATCCAAAATGGCTACTATTATACCCCTTAGGTTGCGCACATTTACTTTTCCTCAGATATCATCAAGTGGTCTCTACCAACGTTGGTATTGATGAGCTTCAAATTCACAAAGTTACTTATGCGCCTATCACTTCCCTCCCACCTGGGCTGCCCCACCCAAGATGTGGGGATTGTCACTTTTGAAGTGACAAAATTTCCACCGCTCGGGCAAAATTTAAGTGACAATCCCCAACCATGCCCGACATACATACGTGGGGCGCACTAGTGATTGCCTTTCCATGTAGTACGGCAGTGTTAACAATGTAATTTGAGTGACCAAATTCCCCACCCTGGGGCATGAAAACCGTGACCAAATCCCAAGGGGGGGGGGGGGGGTTGACATTTGACAGGCGAATTACTAGCACAGTTACCTTAACAAAAATAAACGGGACATTATGTGAAAATGATAACATCTTGATGATATTTAGGCCAAAGAGAAAAACAGGTGGAAAAATGAGGTGTCCATAAATTTGGCTAAAAAATAGGCGAAAGGTTGCCTAACGTGGGGAACTTCAACAACTTCAAGGAAATCCCCCAAAATAAAAGATTATTCAATTCAATTCAATTCAATTCAACATTTATTTCCAAATCATACAAACACTGTAATAATTACATGAAGAAAAAAACAACAGTTGGGGCATATACACAAAAAGCCGAAGCTTGTAAGGGGAATGCCTTAGAGTCAAATGAACAATATACATTTTTAGTATGATAGTAAATAAGTACAACATGTATATGTACACGTTACAGATCAGAAAAAATGTAACGGACACACAAACGAACAAACAAGCAAACAAACACCCCAACAAACCAATAAACAACCTAAACAAACAAGTGGACAAAAGGACGAACAAATGGTAATGAGTAGAAGTTGAAATACTAAAATAATATGATATAATAGAGGAAAGATCATGTTTGAATGACGCATACGGTAAACTAGTTTGGAGTATTACAAGGAGGTAGGCCTATGTGTAGAATGAGGGAGAAATGCACACAGGTAGGTATCAGGGTGAAACCCAAAAAAAAATCAAAATAAAACAAGTTTTCATTTAGGAAAATTATAACAACAAAAAAGAATGTGGAGAAAAAACTGTGTTACATAAAGAGAGAGGAGGTATTATTTTCTCTTACAGAATTTTCTCATAGACCTTACACCGTTTCTCAAATTGAATTCTATGCATCATTCGTACGATTACGTGAAAGTTAAGAGGTCAACCTTTTTTTGTTTCTTATACAGCATGTTGCACCGTTTCTCAAAATAGAATTTTATGCATTTTCTTATATAATTTCTTACAGTGTTTAGGCGAAAATTAAGAACCATTTTTCTTCTAGTACAGAATGTTTGCACTTAGTAATGTTACATGTAACAATTTAAACGTTGCAACGATATAATTAATGTTTCACAGGTGAAGCAACTGTTTTGACGAGGTTCGCAGTACAGTTCATATCTCAATCTTGTTCCTGGGTTTAAGTGCCCAGCATGCAGTCCTAGAAATTCTTGATCGGCAAGAACTCAACATCCTGAAGAAATGTGTAGGTCTTTTCCATGGTGTCCAGGAAAAGTTGAAGGACAATCGCAATTTCGTGCAATGTAAATCCGGCCTAGAAAACTTGTAGCCGTTTTGCTTAAAAAATGCACCAAAATCTTAATCTTGCAATTTTGAGTGGTTTTAGCTCGTCCTTCCTTGTCCAATGATGAGTAGTTGTAGTCTCGAGTTGCGTTGGTTATGCCGTTGACGAAGTAGTCCGACTGGAGACTGCCCACTAGTTTTGACCCTCTTTATGACACTATCCGCAGTCTGTATAGCCAGAACCAGAATTAGAAGAAATCAAAATCAGAAAATTAGTTTTTGGGGTCAAACAGTTAGACGGAAGCATAAGTTCATATTCCTGTAAATCCACTTCAGTCTCAGTACAAAGCCGTAAAAGGCACAGGGCAGCTTTGACAATTGCAAGTGACGACACAGAAAGCTTTGAATTAATACAGTTTTATGCAAACACGATGTCTGAATAAACTTTATTAGATAACAAATTAAAGAATAAAGCTTAATGTATCTGACATCATTCAGACAGGGCTCTGGAGTTCTCTGAAACATGCAAAACTAAATCAGACCCACTTTACTCACAGTTTAGGCAGCAAATTTCTCCAAAAATTCCACTGGGGCAAAGAAAATGTCCTCAGTATTTCACCAACCAAGTTTGCAGACTCAATTAGATTTTATAGGAGACTTTTTTTCAATATTTTTCACATGAGAGGGAAGTCAAGTGATTTCAAAATGGGGCTAAATACAAGACTGGTACATGTCCAACCATGGTCCAACTATTTGAAAAGACTGACCTCTTCATTCAGTGTCAATAGTCCGGTGGCTTGACTATGGAGAAATGTGTAGTAAATTGAGACTACTTCCCCTTTCATGCCACATGTTTCTTAAATTCCTAATTTTGGCATGGTTGACTGATGCATTACTGAAGCTGTGTTGGACTGGTTGTTTCAGGTGCCAGTCTATTTTCTTGTTTTGCATGTTTTCAATACCTTAAGGTTTGGGACTCTCATACACACTGTTGTGAGTCCCAAGTTTTCATACTAGACATTATCATGCTAAAAATACAACAACATTGAAATTCTGATTTCATTAGCTGTTATTTCTACCTTTATACTCATACATACAATCTTCATATTCAGTGTCAAAATGGTCTTTTATATCTTCCAGGAAAAGTTTGAAGCGGCCGGTAAATTATCATCTGATATATCCATGGAGCTAGTATCAGCACCGTATCAAAGACAATTCCCTGGCACGCTATAATTCCACTGTATCATGCGTTTGGCATTATCATAACAGTCCTCAACGTCTTGAAACTGAACACGGCGTATCATCAGCACGCTATCCAAGAACGAATGCATGGTACCTGGGTGGGGTTTAG